TGATTTTCGTCACCCGTTCGCGCGGTTTCTTCTTCATGGAGCGCCCCTCAATCATGTTGATGTGCGCTTTCGTTGTTGCCCAGTTGGTCGCTACCTTCATTGCTGTCTATGCTGACTGGCCCTTCACTTCCATCCAGGGTTGCGGTTGGTCATGGGCCGGTATTGTCTGGATCTGGAACTTCATCTGGTTCTTGCCCATGGACTTCCTCAAGTTCGGTATGCGTTATCTCTTCGAGCCCAAGAACACCCTCCAGGAGTCCAAGACCCCCATGGCTGGCCAGTCCCGCCGCGCCTCTGCCATGTCTGGAACCTCTTCGGCCCGCTACTACGCCAACCGCACCCGTTCCCTCAAGTCCCTCGAGCGTCCCCAGAACTTTGCCAAGAACCTCTTGGGCAAGAACAAGCGCTCCATGGATGCCAAGGAGATGCGTCGCTTCTCTTCTGTTCAGACCAACCACGCCGCTCAGGTCTTGAACTCTTCCAACTCTCACTCATAAACTACTACAACAACCCCCCTAAAAAATGGAATCGTATAAGTAAAAAAAAAAAGTATTATTATATCTATATAGATCTTTTATACTTATATGTTTCTTGTTGTTGTTGTGTGTATGTGTAAATTTTCTCTCTCTCTCTCTCTCTATCTACTTATCTCTCTACTTATCTCTCTCTCTACTTACCTCTTTACTATCACACTCTATCTATCTCTTTTAACCTCTTCCTTAACTATTCTTTTTTTTATTTTATTCCTTACTTTTATTTGTTTTCTTTTTTTTTTATTTACAAGATTTTTCTCTCTTACACACACTTACATAAAATAAATCTTTCGCTACATATATAAAAAAATATATATATTATATATATATATATATAATTGAATTAAAAAATAATTTGACTCTCTCTCTCTATAATTCTATTTTTTTGTTGTTGTTGTTGTTGGCTGTTTGTATTAATGATTTTATTATTATAAGCAATATATATATATATATCTTTACACCAAAAGAGAAAAAAAAAATCGGATAGTCAAAATTGGATAGTTAATATGTAAGGCAGTAGAAAGAAGAAGTATAATTTAGTATTAAATAACAACAACAATGAGTATTTTTAATATGTATCTATGTATGTGTTTTGTGTTTTGTACATTGTGAGAATTTTGACTTGCATATTTGTATTTGTATTAATATTAGTGATGTGCGTTTGTTTGTAAAGAAAATCTAAAATTCAAAATTCAAAATCCAAAAGGAAAATAAAATAAAGTACAAGGAATAAAGGAAATTTATCATTTAACCATTAGGAAAATTGTTTCTTTATCTATCTATATGTTCAAAAAAATGTACACAGTGCTTCTCAATATCCAATATAGCAACCAATTAAAGATCAATTAAAGATCAATTAGTATCCATGTCATTTCATAATTCCAAAAAAAAAGAGAGAGAAAGAGAGAATAGGTATATTATTTTTCCCCTTTTTTTCTTTCTTTCTTTCTTTTCAAATTTAACAGTTTAACAAGAGTACAGTATTATGTAATGACGGCAATTGCAAATGATGATCTGGATGAATTTTATTGTTGAAGCAATTTCCGTTCATCCCGAACAATTCTTTTTTAACAAAAATATATATATACAGTTTATTAGAAGCCACAAACACAAGAGCACATACTTATTTACATTTGGTGGTGGGAAGTAAAGGGTTGGGGCTTTTGTGTGAGCGACATGATCGTCATAATATTCTTGAGATACTTTAGTGCCTCGTCTCTATCAAATTTCATTACCGTAATAATAGTATATAAAATTACCATTGTAGTTTCAAACAATCGCCATAGGTATCTCATTCAAAGTTGGCCCAACAGAAACTTTGTTGCATTTGACTGATATAATGAAAATAAAAAATAAACGCCTTTTTTTTTTGTTTTTTTTTTTTTTTTTTTGGTTTGGAGTATATTAGCAAAGAAAGCTTTATGGTTAATTACACTCTCTGTGCTATTATTATTATTATTATTATTATTTTGTTGCTTAGAAATGGCTGTTGGATGGGATAGGGTTTTGTTTTTGCTTATCGTGTGTATAGACAGGGATCAAGATCCATTTCTTATTTTCTTATTTTCATGTGCTTCATTGCCAAGTTATGGTTTTGCCGATATTTTTGAATCACATAGTCCAGTATTAGATTGCCCTTCTTTCCTTCTCCTTATTCTTTATCACTAGACTGATAGCATTTATGTTGAAGTTATCAAGGTCATTATTACATGTGGCGCCTAACCTTACTTCTTTTTTTTTGCCACTGCCCAGAATTGGTCAATTAGGGTTTAGAGTTCAGGAGAGCAACTGAAGAAAATAAATACATTTTGTTAGAGATTTTCATTAATCTGAATGCGTGAATGGGGTGCATTGTCCATAATTATAATTTTGTGGCTATGTTTTCTACATTTCACCAAGACTAATGTATATTTATATACACATGTTGACTGTAATCAACCCTGCAGTAGAAGAAAGCGGCTAAGATGGACATTATGTTTGCTTCTCGTAGTAAGCCTGGTTAAAAAAAAATTGCATGAATACCGTTTCTGAACCAAGCTTCGTTAGGAAAGTTCATACCAGTTGTTTTATGCTCTTCAGTAGAGGACAGATAATTTACAACCTACCTTATTTTTATAGCTTTCTTTCTTTCAAAAGAAGAAGAAGAAGAAAAACCCCCCCTATAGCTTTATCATGCACAATATAACGTACATAATCATATTTTGTTTTTTTTATTCTTGTCTCCTTTCCATTCATACGGATATCTTTATCTCTTGACTTTATTCTTTTTCTTTCTATTTCTATCAGCAGTGGACATGCCAGGGACCATTCATTAGAAGTCACGGTCGAGTGTTTAGAATGAGTAACAATTATCTCGGGAATACATAAATTTTGCCATTGTTATGGTCCCCTTTAATACCAAAATATTGTACGTGTTGAATCGTAAATTCGAATAAAAAGACAAATTTTAATTTTTGGAGTGTAATGAACCGACTTGGATACTAATGAATTTTTTTTTAATTGGTTATTGAAAAGGACTGTAAAACATTATGTGATTTGGTGGAATTTGTTCAAGAACCTAGGACAAGTATTAGAATATTAAGCTAGTATAAATAAATACACTGGTTTTCTTTTAGTAAAGTCTATTTATTGTTGATAAGGACTGACATATGTCACTCTGGTCTTTTAGTATTGTCTGTGTTATAGAGAAACCCTTACTGTTATTATTATTATTTTTATTGTATCCCCATGACAATCCTTATTCCGCCTTTTTTTTTTTATTATATATATATTTTTTATATTACTTTTCACCACCTCTACCACCTCTACCACTATTGATATTGCTACTCGGTGGGCTACTAGCTCACATTGCCTCTACCTAGTATACATATATATATATATATATATATATAAAAGGTATATGTGCGGAAGGAGAAAACCAAAACCTTTTTTTGTTTTTTTTTTTGTTTTTTCTTTGTTACTATATTTTTCTATACTATATTTCTTTTCCTGTCACAAAGTTCTGTGTATCTTATCTCTATCTCTGTCTTTATCTTTCTCTCTTTGCCTATATATATAATTTTTCAAGAGATTAGATTAGGCTGACTAGGAAAAAATAAAATAAAAAATAAAAAAGAATGTTTCACCAGAGTTGTTTATTTTGCACATGAAATATACATCGATCTATATGTTGGATACTTTGATAACCATATGAATTTATGGCTATAGAGTATGTCTTTGAGTTTCTTAAATAATAAAAATAGATGAATAAATTTTTATTTTATTTTATTTTATTTTATTTTATTTTATTTTATTTTGTGTGTAAGTGTGAATGCGAGTGTATGAATGCGAATGTGTAATATTGCATTGCTTTGTATTTAATATGTAAAGAAAATAAAGAAGAAATCAAGGCTATAGGACACGAAAGAATTGAAACAAAGGAAAATTTGAAACAAAAACAAAAACAAAAATAATATTAATATTAATAATAAGAGCGATGGGTTTTTGTGTGCAAAGTGTGCAAAATGTGCAAAGTGTGCAAAATGCACAAGTATATATGAAAAAAAAAATTGTGTACAAAATTTTATGTGTAAATAGAGTAAAAAAAAAATGGGGAAAAAAGTAAAATAAAGAAGAAAGGTGACATGGAACATAAAGCAACGTTCTTTTCTTTTTTTTTTGGGGTCTATTTTTTTTTTGGTTGGGATTTTTTTTTCTGCTTCTTCTTCTCCCGGTCGACAGGAGAGCAAGAAGATGTGTATAGTAAGGACACCAAAAGGAAAGGGGAATATGAGTTATAGACATAAAAGGAGTTTGTAAAAAAGAAAAAAAAATAGAATAAAATAAAATAAAATATATATATAAAATAATAATATTAGTGGTAATAAGAAAGGGCATGCAGATAGATAGATAGATAGATAGATAGATAGACAGAAAGACATATAGAAAGAGAAAGAGAGAAAGAATATATAGATATATGGTAAGAACTCAAGGTTGATCTTGGTGTTGTTCTTGTGTGTAAAGAATCGATCGAAGGATTTCGCATCGTCGTTCAAGCATACCCAGAAACCCATGCATCTGCCCAAGGTTCATCCGACTGAGGAGAGATGTGAACCGGCTGTCATCAAACTCGTTCCAGGTCTTGCCAGTCGAAACAAGAGGCGAAATGGCAGGAGTAAAGAGGAGGGGTGGTGTTGGCAAGGGTTCGGTCACAAATGTAACAGGATATCCTAGTGGGAGTGTCAAGGGAATAGTATTCTGGTTCTGGTTCTGGTTCTGGTTCTGGTTCTGGTTCTGATTCTGGTTGTTGTTTTCATGGTTTTCTTTAATATTGATATTGTTGATATTGTTGATATTGATCATAGTGTTGCTGTTGTTGTTGCTGCTGTTAATGTGAAGATCTTCAGAACTCTGAAGGCTTGGTCGCTTGGCTGGTCGTTGTTGGATCTGGTCATCGGATCTCTGCTGGAAAGTCTCGACTGAACAGCCTCGCCGACGCTTCTGGATGGTTGGCTTGCGCATAGCAGCAGGTCTGTCTCGGTGATGAAGTTTGGCGTATAATCCACAGGCATTGCAAACCGATTCCCCCCGGTCATTCTTACGCCAGAGTGGGGTGTTTGTCTGAAGACAGTTGGCACATTGCTGGGAAGGAGAGTCGGCTACTGATGCTGTTGTTGCTGTTGTTACTGTTGTTGCTGTGTTTGTTTGTTGTGGAAGCTGTGGTAAAAGCACCTCCTGTGAATCACATGTTTGTTCGAGATTATTGATGGTAGACAGGGGTGGAGAATTGTCTGGGTTGAATGAGTGAATGTTATGGTTATGAAAGTCATGTTCATGTTCATGTTCATGGGTTTGGTGATGTGGGTGAGTAGAAGCAAAATCGAGGGTCGGGGAGTGAGAGATATGGATTGCGGTAGGTGGTGGGGATGATAGAGGGGAAGTAGGGCCAGCTACTTTAAGGACAGAAAGTGGAGGTGAAAGTGGTTGAATCGTGGTTGAATTATTATTGTTAGTATTATTGGCAGCAGTAACAGTGACAGCAATTGCAGCTGCAGCTTTGATGGCAGCAACAGTAATGGGATGAGATTGTTGTTTGTTGGATTGAGATGCTTGCTTTTGTCTGACATGAAGGGGACGGTGGTTGCCATATTGCTTGTAGTAGAGGCCACATGCGTTGCAGAGAGAGTGGGCGCGGTCAGGGGTGCGTCGCCAGAGAGGAGTCTTGGTAACATGGCAATTGAAGCATTCTTGCTGGCGCACGGTTGGGTCTGGAGTAGCTGGATCAGAGCGGCAAAATTGGTTGGTCTCTTTTGGGGATACAGACTGTGAGTCATTATTATTACTAGTATTGTTGTTGGTATTATTCGTGGTTGTGGTTGTGGTTGAGGAGGCCATTGAATCGTCTTCGAATTGAACATATTGGTCGAGTGATTCGGTTGGCTGAACTTGGTTTGGCTGGTGGTGGTAAATGTTTGGAAAGGTGTCGAGAAAGGAGTTTGAGGCGTGAAGATGGATTGGGTTGATGGTTGAGAGAGTTGGACTGTTATTGAGAGAACCGGCACCAGCGCCGGCTGTTGATGATATTGGAGAAGGGAAGCTGCTGAAGACAGTCTGTGCATCAGAGGAGGGTGAGGGTGAGGGGTGGTTGGATCTGCAGGCATCACTCAACATTTGTACAAGATGTTCCTTGTCAAAGAATCTCTCTGAAGGGTAACCAAGCATATAATTTCCAGATTCTGTCATGATGATATAATTCTTCTCTTATAAAAATAATAAAAGAAGTAGGTAGATGATGTTGATAGTCGAAAGAAAAGAGAAAAGAAGAAGAAGAAGAAGTATATTTTGTTTTTTAATAATGTAAGAAGCTCTCTCTTTTTTTTTCTTTTTTTTCTCTCTTTTTTTTTTTTTTTTTTTTGCCAAAGAAAAGAAAAGAAGAGAAACCAGAAAAAATGAGGATCTTTTTATGTTGTTTGACCCGAGATTTGACTAGCGAAAGGAAACACACGCACAAACAAAATAAATAATAATAAAAAAGTATTTTGACTGCCACACTTTTTGCTGGCTTTTTATTTTTTATTTTTTTATATTCAATGTTCAAAATAACCTCAGAGTAAGATCTATACCTATATAGTGTCCTGCTTATATTTCATTTTATTTTAATAGTGCAGCTGTTTGGTGTTGACTAGATGTGATCTGTGGTTGCCTGTACCTGAGTGTTCAGGTTAATTGTTTTTGCTTTTTTTTTTTATTTTCTGTCGTGACTCGGAACTTAAAGGTTAATAATAATAATATATATAAAAAAGAAAGAGAATGAGGAGAGAGGCAAGAAAAGAAAATAGAAAGGGTAGTGCAAAGATGGCACAATATCGTCTTGTACTATGATTTCACAAGCTTTGTTCTTTTTTAGATCACTTTATAATTCAACAATAATAATTTTACTTTCTATTCCACTCAACCAGCCAACTTTCTTTTTATTTGCTTTTTTGGCTTATCCTACCAATCACTCACTTTAAAGCAATCAATCAACCTCTAGCGGTGTTTGTCTATTTCATCCGATCAAAGCTGTTGTTCACTTGATTGGTCCAAGATTACAAGGCCTCTTGTCTTGTGAGCACAAGATATAGTGATAACAAGGAACAGGAACATCATAGCTGATGCCAGATTCGTACTCTCTTGTTTATTCTTCATATTCATATTCACCGAAATCACGGTCCATAATATACACACTCTATTCCAGCCCTTGACATTCAATACAATACCCAGAGGTCTTTATCATCTACCTATTGTTAAAAGTAGAATATGAGTGCTTTATGTGTTTCATAAAATATATTTTTATTTTTATTTTTATTTTTATTTTTATACATTTTATATTTCTTTACTGGGTGTAGTAAGATAGATCGTGACTAGCCAATGATATGCTCCGAATCCTTGATAAGATACATAAACGAGCTCTTTATATAAATATATAAATATATAAAAGGTGTACAGTGCGCCGACTGTACGATCAGCCAATCATTCGGCGGTTACTCATAGATAAGCCTATTTGAGGAATCACTAGTTGTGAAGGTGCACCTGATGGAGGATCTCTCTCTCTCTCTCTCTCTTGCTTACTTTTATTTATATACTTTATAATACACTCTCAATTTTCTTCACCACTATTATCACTAATTACATACTACTTACCCAGTACTTAGTGCTCAGTGCTTAGCGCTCAGTACTTGGTACCAACATTATTATTATTCATCTTTGTTTGATAAAACAGAATTCGTTTTTTTTTATTTATTTTTTTACCCATGATAAACAGGTACATATAGCAATAATAGCAATAATGAAAAAAGTAACACCTGGTTACATAATAGGAACCTTCTGATAATCCAAAGAGTACACACCATGGCTGAATGCCATAATAGCCTTTGACTCCATGGCATCCAAGCATATATATATTCTATCTGGTTTTTGATCCAAGTACAAAAAAACTGACCAGAAAGCTGGTCAAGTCATTCTGTCTTTTATTCTATATAATTTTTTTTTTGAAAACAAAAAATAAATAAGGATCCGACTATCATACACGCGAGAGATAATCATTATTTTTTAATATAACATTTTAATTTATACTTTTATATATATATATATATATATATATATTCTTGAATGAACAAAGCACAAACACACGCACACGCACACGCACACACACATGCACGCGCATGTATACATGTAATATAAGCATATTCAATACAAGCACGGTCCCTGTCTATTAGCCTTATTACTGTCTTTATAATAATAATAGTTACTTAAAAAAAAGAGATCAATTTAACTCTTTCTTTTCAATAGTATGATGGATAGATTCCATTTATAGGCTATATAGAATACATTGTTCTAATAGAAAGAAAGAAGGAAGGAAAGAAAGAAAGAACACTATAATATATATATATATCATTATTCAATTATTCAATTTTTGCCAAACATTCGGATTGAAAATAATAATAATAATATTTATACAATAATTATAATATAATATAAAAAAAATAGCTCAAGGTAGCACCCGTACATCGTACAAACAATGACCATCACCAGAATTAAATATTGTAGCAAGAATTGAAACACACACACACACACACATATATATATATATATATATAAAAGATAAGCAAAATAAAATAAAATAAGGATATAGTATGTAAATCAAGACAAAACCAAATATAAATTAGTCAAGCCAATCAATCAAAAGAATAAAGAAAGGAAAGCAAGAGAATGACTTGGCTTGGACGGATTCTTTTGACTATCTAATCTTTACTATTACTATATCTTGAGAAAGATAGAAATGCTATTGGCTTTTGGTATCTTTTATTATTATATATATATATAAATATAAATATAAATATAAAATTGATTAATAAAATAAAAAATAAGGCCACCAGTTTATCCAATTGCAATGCAATGTAATGTAATGTAATTTGTATATAAAAAGAAAAGTAAACATTATTATCAGCAGATTGTATTTTAGATGTAGATTTTTATATGATTTGATTTCGATATGATATGATTATCTATAGTTGCTCTATTTGTGTACTGTGTTGAGAATAAAGTCAATGCCTATTACAAGTATCAAAACAAGAGATAAACCTGCAACACCAGAGCACACGATTAGTCAATCAAGTTTGTTTAACATATTCTTTTGTTTCATTTAGACTCTATTCAACCATCTCTGTAATCACACACAAAAAGGAAATACAATACTAACCCAATTCATATTCGTAACATCAAAGCCATGTTAATGTAGTGTAAAGATGTCAAGGTAAAGAACAAAAAAGGGCTCAATACATCATACAAGTGTCTTTAAAAGAATAGTCAAAATAAATAAAGTATATATACGTGCGTGTAACTCAATTGAGTCATGTACAACCTTCTTCTTATTCTTTTTACTTGCTCTCTTTGTTCTTCTTCATTTACATCATATATACCTGATTAAGGAAACAAACAGGAAATTGTGCCATTACTGTACTCTCATTGTCCTACAAGAACCGACATATAGCTCCAAATGCTAAGCCTACACACAATTCTATTCTATTCTACCTTTATTTATTTAGCTTTGTGTAAACAAGTCAAACATAAAAATAAAAATAAGCATGTTCTTTACAAGCAATCAACCATGCAACATCCTTTTTGTATAATTGTTAAACAAAAACAAAAGCCAAATAGACAAGCAAATATATACATATGGCTACACACTAAATTCCATAAAATCATACTCACCAACAAAGAAACCCAACCTTTGTATTGCTTGACCTTATTACTCTATTGCGCACATTCCACTATACACGTGCATTGATATTCTCTATTTTGAGATAAAATAACAAGAATATATGTAGATGTATACAAGAAAACTGACACACAGTTCTGTACGCGGAAAACAGCTCAAAGTGGCGTTGCATTTTTCTATTACACTACATTACATTATAATTTTTACTAGAACTACTAAAACAATCATCAGTATCAGTATCAGTATCGGTATCGGTACCATTATTTATATTTATTAACAGCAGCCTACCCAGTACTGTTCTAGCGTGTGTTATCAACTAATCTCACTAGAATTCAGGTAATTAGAACCATTAGCCAAAATAATCATAATAAAAATATTATTATTCCATATTAAATATTTCCCCGCAAATAAAATATACAATATATATATATATATATATAAGTTGGTGACCCAGGAAATACAAACAACAATTGCGTACAAGTGCGCAAGAATATGTTTTTTTTTCTTTGTGTTTGTATCTTTTTTTTTGTACGCTTTAATTTTGGTGCTCACTTTTGAGTCTGAACGTGTATCATTCATTCATTTTTGGTGTTTTTAAAAGATAAGCTATTTTATATATATATTTATTATACTTTACACTAAACTACAGTACAGTACACTATAATTTGTACATGATCGATTTCTTTTGGAAGTATCAGTGTTTCTATTCTGTATACACTTTACACCTTTAAAACATTTTTATATCATTAAACGGCGTAACCCCAAATATAGTGTACGTGAATTTGCACATATATTGTACACTTGTTCTTTTTCATTCATATTCTTTTGATTTTTCTGTGCAACTCAATTGAAACAGTCAAAATAAGGCAAAGATATATATATATATATATATATACATAATTTTTCTTTCTTCTTTAATTACTTTATTAATTTATTCAACTTATCTTTGGCTGTTGAATTAAACAACAAAGATAAGGGTTACTTTATGTAACATCATTTACATTACATTACTGTTTGTTATATATATACATTCACGCGCAATGATATTCAGGAACACGATCGGGTGTAGCCGTCAATTACAGAAAGAACCCAATAACGATAGTTTCTATTATACCAAAGAAGCAATAAAATACAATATGTCTCTTATTTCTCTATATGTGTATTAAGCTAATACTGTAATTGGTAGCAGCAATATACCTACATACATATATGCATGTATCTTAACCAAACAAAAGAACCCTGAACCAAATATCTCTCTCTCTCTTTTTTATATATATATATAGTTTATATTACACACATACACAAGGATATATATGTATATGTATAAGACTCGTTTGGCATTTTATCTACACGAGCATGATGCCGATTCTACCTTTAATCAATTAAGAAGAAAGTCAGTCTCACAACAGAGCCACACAGTACTTTTTATGGCTAAAATAGACATGCAATTGATCCACGCAATATTGCCTCATCCTCATTCTCAATCGTATTCGCATTATTTTTTGGCTCTAATTTGCTCTTAGTACACCAGAAGATTATCATTATCATTATCATTATCATTATCATTATCATTATCAATATCATTGTCATTACAATTACAATTACTAGTATAGCTGCCCTGTCTAAAATACATATTTATATTATATTTCTAACATGTATTTTTAGTATGAACACAAAGAAATCAAAGGGGGTTGACTGTTGCAATTGATATTCTATATTGTCATTAATAAGTAATAAAAAAAAACAGAAAAGAGAAAGTTTTTTGGATCTATTCTTTATTGTCAAATATCTTTGGGACATTTATAGATCAAGAGTCTATTGAACCACAAAAGTCTTTAACAGTAACTGACCTTGGACTAATATATTAGTCCTTGTTGCTCAGAATTATAAGAAATTATTACTGTCATTATTATCATTTCAGTAAAAAGAATAACATTAGTAACAATATCAATCATTTCAATATTAAGATGAAAGAAAGAACGAAAAAAAAAGTTTCAATTTGATCCAAAATCGCTAATCTCTTCATCTTTTTTTTTACATGGCTCTCTAAATATATTCGCATATCTGTATATCTATATACAAACAGACCGTATACACAAGAAATCAAATCAAATTCAGGGCTTGATTTCTTATTTGTTTGTATTTTTTGCTTTCTTTTTGTTTTGTTTTCTATAGTGTAGACAGTATGCACTGAATAATGCCTGTAGTAAGAATAAAAACAAGGGATATATAAACCAAGAAAGTCATGGCAATAATCGCATTTGTATAGAACTGAGCTTTTGCGTGTTAGAAACCTAAATTTGCATAAAGAAATTCGTTTACATTTGCATTCCAAGGACATCGCTCCCTATAAAATGAAATATATCAAATAATAAATAACGATATTGCCTTGTATTAGGAGTATTATCAACTGCTCATCTTTAACATAATCTCCTATTCTACTCTTTATTTATTTATTTATTTATTTATTTATTTCGTTTTATCTAACAAGTACTCATTAATACACCATTATAATCAATAGAAGCTAATATTAAACAGTATCTACTTTTCCAATTATTGAAATACTAACCCAATAACAATACCGAATACCTCACACACCACCATTCCCCCAAACTTGGTTCCCTCGATTATATTCTCTTTTTTATACATCTCGTCAACTCTTCTGATAGCTTTGGCCCCTTTATCGTTACATTTGATTATGAATTGTGATGAATTGAGCTGAATTACACCCCTTCATTGACTCTTTGGCAAGGTTGGCTTATGATCTGGAATATGTGAGCCAAAGCCTAAACAGACGAGATATCTGATAATTGTCTCTCTACAGATGAATATTTCTATTTTCTTTAAAGAGGCTCTTCGCCTAGAGTATGCGGCAAATTGGGTCCTTTCGAACCACTTGCACAAATTATATTACTGTCTTCTCACTAATCTTTCTAGGTCCTACAAGCCGCTTTCTTGGGTCTGAAGATTTTATTTTAACTATTCTCTTAATGATGTACTTGACATTAGGCAGGCTCATGCCAACAGCCCATGAAATCTGAATTACTTTGACATCTGCTTAATGCATGTATACAATGCATTCGTCTTAGTAGGAATCCTATTTTTCAAAAGGAACATGTGTGTTTTCTGATGATGTGTCTTGCATGTTGGATTAGATTATTAAAATGAGCAAGAAAACAATGCTCATGTTTTTATTTTTTGTGGGTGTCAAAACGATTTAGATTGTGAGTCTTTAATCTTTTGACAGAGTAATTCAAAACTAGAGTTGACTTTAATAGATAGATTTCAAAAACGCGTATAATAATATTATATACTATTTCACTTCATTTGTTTAAATAAAGTATATGTAACTTTGATTTTATTAAGGTCTTTTATATATTGATAAAAAAAATTAAAAAAAAAAAACAAAAACAATTAAAGTCGGTGAACACTCAAGCCTAGAGCTTTGCTGAGCGGGTTCAAGGTGGTACCTTGGCTTTACTTTATCTAAATATTCAAAAAAAAGTTGAGATTAGTATATTGTCAATGAATGTTTTTATTTATTTATTACATACCTGCTATAAATAAAAATATTGCTTATCTTGAGGTATGGTCAGCTCAAGATTCTCTCGCAAAAACGAGAGAGACCCGGTTGGAGATTATTATCACCTTAATAAGCCGCTGGGCAGATAGAGCCACTGGCTAGCACACAAAAGTGTAAGGTGTGTTCGCCACTACGTCCCACCAAGCGTTTAAGTCAGAAAACCCTCAGAGTTTCCCACGTTTTGTATAAGAGAAAAAAAGCAGCATCCGCCATCAACATTACAATCAGATTATGCAACAGGACCTCTTCCCAACCGAGGTTGAGAAATTAAGGCCGCTTACAAATGCCACGTCATGCGCAGAAGACTTGAGATGACTACAATCTAACATCGAACACGCATGGCAGAAAACCCTCAGATCCCTACGAAATACGCGAGGCATAGACTGACAAGCTCTATACCGCATCGATAATTAAGCATAGTTACCGGGACCACAGCTTATTATTGACTTGCATCTTTGTACAAGATAGAATGATAATATCTGATTTTACTGTATCAATTAAAATGGAGAAGATACAAACCGCGAGTAAAGAAGAAAATTAAAAAATCCCATTCACTCCCCCGTTTTAAAAGAAAAAAAAATTTTCTTCAAAGCCATCTGGGCGTAAAAGTAAAAGTCACGGCGCATAAAATAAACATCGGGTTCTGAACAAAAAATGCGCCCATATTCTTTTATTAACATGTGATATATAAGCCTCCCAAAGGATTTGTTTATTTATGAGTGAGAGATATTAAGCTGTCTATATGTAAAGACTAATATTTACGTAGCATACAACTTCTTCTTGCTAGAAATATACTTTCAAAAAACGTATATATATTTATTAAATCATGTAACTTGGAATTTCAATGTGGAATCCAAATAATTGGTTTATTTAACAACTCCATTTAAAACATCTCTACGACTCGAATATTTATGAAAATAAAATAAAAAAGAAATAAAAAGTTAAAATGTACTTTCAATTGCATTATTACAAGTAAACCAATCAATATACAATAACTGTAATTGCTATTACGATTGACTCAATTATATAATGTATCACTTATAAGAATCGTTTTGCAAAATAGTACTTCTTCACTGGTATTTGAGAGGCTTATATATATCACATGCTGATAAAAGAATATGGGCGCATTTTTTGTTCAGAACCCGATGTTTATTTTATGCGCCGTGACTTTTACTTTTACGCCCAGATGGCTTTGAAGAAAAATTTTTTTTCTTTTAAAACGGGGGAGTGAATGGGATTTTTTAATTTTCTTCTTTACTCGCGGTTTGTATCTTCTCCATTTTAATTGATACAGTAAAATCAGATATTATCATTCTATCTTGTACAAAGATGCAAGTCAATAATAAGCTGTGGTCCCGGTAATTATGCTTAATTATCGATGCGGTATAGAGCTTGTCAGTCTATGCCTCGCGTATTTTGTAGGGATCTGAGGGTTTTCTGCCATGCGTGTTCGATGTTAGATTGTAGTCATCTCAAGTCTTCTGCGCATGACGTGGCATTTGTAAGCGGCCTTAATTTCTCAACCTCGGTTGGGAAGAGGTCCTGTTGCATAATCTGATTGTAATGTTGATGGCGGATGCTGCTTTTTTTCTCTTATACAAAACGTGGGAAACTCTGAGGGTTTTCTGACTTAAACGCTTGGTGGGACGTAGTGGCGAACACACCTTACACTTTTGTGTGCTAGCCAGTGGCTCTATCTGCCTAGCGGCTTATTAAGGTGATAATAATCTCCAACCGGGTCTCTCTCGTTTTTGCGAGAGAATCTTGAGCTGACCATACCTCAAGATAAGCAATATTTTTATTTATAGCAGGTATGTAATAAATAAATAAAAACATTCATTGACAATATACTAATCTTAACTTTTTTTGAATATTTAGATAAAGTAAAGCCAAGGTACCACCTTGAACCCGCTCAGCAAAGCTCTAGGCTTGAGTGTTCACCGACTTTAATTGTTTTTTTTTTTTAATTTTTTTTATCAATATATAAAAGACCTTAATAAAATCAAAGTTACATATACTTTATTTAAACAAATGAAGTGAAATAGTATATAATATTATTATACGCGTTTTTGAAATCTATCTATTAAAGTCAACTCTAGTTTTGAATTACTCTGTCAAAAGATTAAAGACTCACAATCTAAATCGTTTTGACACCCGCAAAAAATAAAAACATGAGCATTGTTTTCTTGCTCATTTTAATAATCTAATCCAACATGCAAGACACATCATCAGAAAACACACATGTTCCTTTTGAGAAATAGGATTCCTACTAAGACGAATGCATTGTATACATGCATTAAGCAGATGTCAAAGTAATTCAGATTTCATGGGCTGTTGGCATGAGCCTGCCTAATGTCAAGTACATCATTAAGAGAATAGTTAAAATAAAATCTTCAGACCCAAGAAAGCGGCTTGTAGGACCTAGAAAGATTAGTGAGAAGACAGTAATATAATTTGTGCAAGTGGTTCGAAAGAACCCAATTTGCCGCATACTCTAGGCGAAGAGCCTCTTTAAAGAAAATAGAAATATTCATCTGTAGAGAGACAATTATCAGATATCTCGTCTGTTTAGGCTTTGGCTCACATATTCCAGATCATAAGCCAACCTTGCCAAAGAGTCAATGAAGGGGTGTAATTCAGCTCAATTCATCACAATTCATAATCAAATGTAACGATAAAGGGGCCAAAGTTATCAGAAGAGTTGACAATGAAGTATTCGGGATTGTTTAGGAGTTAATATCTCAATATTGGTAAAAGTAAATACTATAAAGTGTTATTTATTTAAGACATAAAATAATATTGTTTTTATCTGTTACTGTTAAAATTCTTGTTGTGTAATGGTTGGTTTACACTGTATGAGTGTGTAGTGTACATGTGCCAGGTGTATAACAGTTCCGAATATAGTTAACTTGTCAGGTTCATTAGCAATAAGGAACCAATGTTTGGCTGTGAAGTCTGTTCTTCACTCAATTGTGGTGTGTATACCACAACTCTAAAAACGACTTTTAAACAGAAAATCCGCTATAAATATAAATTGACTAAGCAAAGCTCTTTTGTATGCGTAATAAAGCTGGTAGGGCATGTTACGATCCACAATTTAAAAGTTGTTTGGTACTAATTACTCAAATATTGATCAAAATGTCAATTTATTTCACTTTAAAAATGACTTTTAAACAGAAAATTCGCTATACACATAAATTGACTAAGCAAAGTCTTTTTGTATGCATAAGTAGCCTGGTGAGACATGGTAAGATCCACAGTGTTAAAGTTGTTTGGTATTAATTGCTCTAATATTGATCAAAATGTCAATTTACTTCGCTCGGAATGACTTTTGTGGTATACACACCACAATTGAGTGAAGAACAGACTTCACAGCCAAACATTGGTTCCTTCTTGCTAATAAACCTGGCAAGTTAACAATCTCCGGAACTGTTACACACCAGGAACACGTACACTACACACTCATACATTGTAAATCAACCATTACACAACAGGAATTTTTATTACGAGGATTTTAATAGTAGCAGATATAAACAATATTATTTTGTCTTTTTAATAAATAAAACTCTCACAGTATCTAATTTTTTTATTATTGAGATACTAACCCAATAACAATCCCGAGTACCTCACCAAGAACATACGCCAGGTTTATTAGCAAGAAGGAGCCAATATTTGGTTTCGGTATGTATATAATGCCAAATAACCTTAACGCTGTGGATCTTACCATGTCTCACCAGGCTACTTATGCATAAAAAAAGACTTTTCTTAGTCGATTTATGTATATTGCGGATTTTCTGTTTAAAAATCATTTTTAGAGTGAAATAAATTGACATTTCGATCAATATTAGAGCAATTAGCACCAAATAACTTCTATACTGTGGATCTCACTGTGCCGCACCAGGTTACTTATACATACAACAGACCGTTGCTTAGCCGATGTATATGTATGGCGGATTTTCGGTATTTAATTTGTCGTTTTGCTCGAAATTCATTTTTTTCATAAAACACAACCAGCGCACAGGGCACTCGCTATTTAAATATTATTTTTTTTTTTTCAAAGTGGAGATTAAGTATAGAAAGCCAGATAAAGATGTGTCTTCCCTAGCCAATACAGTGATTTTTTTTCAGAATCTTTTGCGAGTAAATGTGTGTTTAAACATATTCTTTGTTGCTTTTTGTAACTGTTTAATAGAGTCGGTGCAGAAACCCACAAGTGTCTTATAAAATGACATATCCTGATTGGCCTAATTTATAATGCCTAGTATATATGTTCGTCGTACACATCTTTTTTTCTCTTTATCGCACTCCTCTCAAAATATTTTTAAACGGAATGCTTCTTTTGTAAGATCGGTAGTACTTTGGTCACAGAAAAGTGAATATGGAATGCGGGGAGACTGGAGGACTTTACCACTTTTTTTTTTCAACACTTCTTTAAT